GATCTTGGGCAACTCCTAAAATCCTGTTTGCCTCCCATCTGTAAAATGAACTTGAGAAGGAAATGGCAAACCGCTCCAGCATCTTGGCAAAGAAAACCCCAAATGGCATCACGAAGAGTCAGACAGGACTGAAATAATTGAAGAACATAGCTGTTTGCCATAGTTGTCTTCCCCATTAGACTGTGAGTTCCTTGAGGGCAGGGACTGCTGTTTTGCCTTTCTGACTCTCCCCAGCCTTAGCACAGAGCCTGGCACTTAGCAGGCACTCAATAAATGTTTATTAACTGACTGACTGATGGGAGGAGAGCAGGGTGACTTAGTTTTATACTCTGGAGGAGGAAGCAAAGGGCATTTGATCTCATTTGGGTATGGGTATGGGACAGCAGGCTGGCTGACCTCACCTGTTTGTCTCATTGTGTGTGTGTGTGTGTGTGTGTGTGTGTGTGTGTTTGGTGGGGGCGTGGGGTGGAGCTATAGTCACAGGGGCACAGAACCAGCTAGGGAGGTTGGTAGCACAGATTGTGTCTGTCGGAGTATAATAACAGGGGAGTTTGTCGTCCTGAATTTGGCAACAAGGCATTGGGTTTTGGTTATTGGTTCTGCTACTTACTACCTATGTCAGACAACTCCCTTACCTTCTCTGGGCCTCAGTTTCCTCATCTGTAAAAGGAAGGCCTGCGTGACCTTTAAATTCCTTAACAGCCCTAAATCCTATGACCTCTCAGGTTCCCTCCAACTCTAAGGGCCTATGAGCCTATGAAAGAAGGAGCAAGGGGGATGGGGGGAGGCTGACTGTTGTGTGACTTGGCCCAATTGATGTAACTTAGTTTAGCCCAAAGGTCAGCTGACTTGGTTGTCTCTGGCTGGGATGTGTGTCCAGGACAAACAGGTGCTGGGGTGGGGGTGGGGGGGCGGAGTCTGACTGTTCGTTCAAACTGTCACTTTGTCAGCAACACATATTGTTGCTCGGCTTTTAAGTGTCATTTGGCTAAACCTGGGGGTCAAACAGCCCCAGTGTCTCTGGTTGGCTGGGGTGAATGTCAGTTGGTTGTCATGCTGTCCACCTGCCTGAACCTAGTTGTTAGAGATGGGGGTGGGGGTTGTCAGTCTGCTTTGTCTGCCTAGAAACACTGGGGTGTAAGATTAGAGATGGGTGGGGTCCTGAGTCCCTCCTTACCTGGTGTTGCCGGTACAGCAAAGGGAAGGTAAATGCACTTATCACACCTGGAAAAACAGAGTCAGAAGTCAATAACTCTAGAGGAACAGCCTTGATTCCCACCTGCCCATTGGCCCTCCCCACCAGCTCACCCAAGATGAGAAGAGTCAGCCCATTGAAAACGGCTCCCACGAAGGTCAGGATGTAGAAGAGGAGTGCTAACTGTAGGAGACAGCCAAGGTTAGGAGGATCCTTGGGGTTGGCAGGAGAGGCTGTGAGCTTCCCTAGTAGTGCTAGAGGGTGGGCTGCCCATGTTAACACTTCTTCCACACCACTAGACAGTCTGTGCTCTCTACTTCCCAAGTCCTTGGGGCCCTGAGCTCTGCCCAATGCCCTGATGACCATGTCCTTCCTAGGGCTATGAACTTCACCCAGCAGTGCCTCTAAAATCAGAGGACAATTTCTTTACCCGCAACTCTCACACATGCACAGGCAAGCTGCAGAGTCCTACTCTTTTCGGAACGGCGAGTTTGCCTTAGAAATGTACCCCAGATCTGTGACCAACCCCCTCCCTCAACCCCTTCCAGTTGTGATGCCCTAATCAGCCCAAGACTTTGAGTTTTTTCTCATTTCTCCAAAAATCTCTTTGCCCCCCCCAATATACCAAGTGTAAGGTCCCTAGGGCTAAGTACTCCCTCTCCCGCTCACAGGATGTAGTCTATACTTTTGCCTTCTAGAAAAGGATGCTGCTGGTAATGGTGTCTATAGGCAGGAGTTCCATGTGTGTTTCTGGTGATGGTGGGAGGGCTGTTTGTGGAAGGGGCAGGGTTATCAGAAGTCCTGTTACCTTGAGGGAATCAACCAGGTCCTCCACTAGGAACAGGTGTCTCAGGAGCGTCACTCCAGAAACCACATGATCTGTGATCTGCTCGGTGTAGCGGGCTGTCTGCTCCCTGCTCAGGCTCAGATCCACATCCAGGTACGCCCTGAATGGAGGAGTAGGGATGGGGAGGAGAAACAAGATATTTGGACTGGAAAAAGGTTGGTCAGATGTCCTTGCCCCAAAGCTCCCTCTGGTGGCCTGAAGCGGAACCTGCAGGACAGGGCACTGTCAGAAAGATCTGTGACCCACCAGTATTCCTTAGCAGTACAAAAGACCCTCATGCCTGGGATGCTAAACGCCAATAGTGCAGCGCCACCTGGTGGTGCACACTGGAACCACAGAGTGGTGTACCCAGGAGAGGTCCTGATCTGCTGCGCCACCTGGCGGTGGCCAATAGAAAAACTGCATCTCCTCAAGATCCTTCCCACCCACCCCACCCCCCTTCATCAATCTAAGGGAGGGAGAGGCGGAAGGTGAGAGGGAGAGGAAGGTGGGGGACACATAAGATATGAGCTGGGTGGGAGAGTGTCGAGTCAGAACTCCTCATTTTAGAGATGGAGGATCTCAGAATGAGAAAGGGACTTGCCCAAAGTCACACAAAGTTCAGAAATCTCAAAGCTGTTGTTTGAAGCCAGAGCCTATGATCCCAAATCTATGCTGCTCCCATTACCCTCTGGTTGTTTCTCTTGACTGGGGCTACAGCATGAGCCAGTGACAGAGACAAAACCAGAATCCAGGGCTCTTGGGCAGCATTAGAGAGATGAGGAAGGGGCAGAAATGAAGGAAGAAGATGGGAAGAGACTAAGGCAAGGCTTAAATACTTTAGGGGATCAGTGTTCAACATTAGCTGGGATTAAGGGTCAAGGACGCCTGGTTTAAGATTGGTTTGTGTGTAGGGAGTGGTGTGCTATGGGATGGGGTCAGGGTTGAGGTTCATATTAGAATCAGGGTTGGGATCAGGTTCAGGGTTGGAATGAGGGTCAAGTTCAAGGCTGAAGGTTATCTTACTGGAAGGGGTTGGCTCCATCACCCCGGTGCACAGCCTGCAGTGCCTTGTGGTAAACCCTGAGAGAGATGGTGATTGCCAGCAGGGCCAGGGCTAGGTGGGAGGCCACGGAGACAATGCTGAAGTGTAGAAGGCAGAGCAAGGAGACCATGATGCCTGTGAAGACCACACCTGACGTCCTTGTGTCCCGCCAATACAGTAGTTCTGCCACTGTGGAGACAGGAGGTGAGAGGAGGGCTCAGAGAGCACCTCTAGGTCCCCAAGCCCTCCCAACTGTACCAAATGCAGAGACCCAATTTGGAGTGATACAGTATCAAAGAATAGCAGATCTGGGAGGACTCAGATATTATTTAGCCCAACCCCCAGTATTTCACGGTGGGTAAACTGAGGCCCAGGGAAGGGAAATGACCCACTTTCAGGATCAGTTTTGTAACAACTGGCTAGAATGACTAAAAATAACTTATTTGGTGTCCTGAACAGAAGGAACGAAGTTATAGTAATAATAGCTAACATTTTTAAGGTTTATAAAGTGCTTTAGATAAGTGATCTCATTTGATCCTCATGACAACTCTGGAGGTAGGGGCTATTATAGATCATAGAATAACAGGACTAAGAGAAACCCTAGATACCAGATAGCTCACTCCCAACCCTCATTTTACCACTAGAGAAACTAAGGCTATGAGATGAAGGTCACACAGTGAGTCAACTGGCCTGGAATTCAGTTCTCCTGATTCCCAGCCCACTTGACCTTGCACACATCTTCCTCTCTACCATTCAATCCCAAGAGCAGCCTCTCTGATTTACCGTCCAAACCAGGATCAAATTCTGACTAGAGAACCCTTTCTCTCTCTCCTATTAACTCTGCCCAGGTCACAGATAGTGTCCTACAGTTCTGGCTCTCCCCCAAGGCCCCTGACAGCAGCCTGCCCCTTCCCAAGCCCTAGCCCCACCTGGGCATAAGCACACCAGTCCTTTTGCCTCCCGGGCTTACTTAGATTACTTCCTCCCTTCCCTATTCTACGGACGTGAAGTCCCCTCAGCCCTTCCTGAACCCCCTCCCTGAGACCCCACTTATTTCACTAGGATAGGACCTCTCCCACAAACAAGAAGAGATAACTTTCAGGGCTATCTTTCAAGTGCTCTATCCACAATCTTGTTTCCCTTCCCAGACCCAGAACTCCCATAACAGAACCACAGAAGAGAGAATGATAGAACCTTGGAACATAGAACAGAAAATATTGGCGCTGAAAAGGACCTTAGAACACAAGATATTGAAAGGCAGGGTGGGGAGGGACCTTAGAATACAGAATTGCATAGTTGGAAGAATATAGAATGTTCAGAACTAGGAAGAAGCATGGAACAGACCATCAGAGCTGAAAGGGGTCAAAGAACATAGAATGTCAGAACTGGAAAGGATCTTCCAGACCATGCATGATCAACTTCCCAAATTTTGCAGATGAGGAAACTGAGACTGGAGGAGGGGAAACTAAGCCAAGATCAGACAGGGTATGGGAGAGGAAGGGAGTAGCATCAAAGTCTGTTAAACCCCATGGTTGGTGTGAGGGTAGGACAGTGGGGTGAGGTGGGGAGAGAGAGGCTGCCAGAGGGGAAGACTAAGTTTAGGCTGGACTCAGGGGATCGGTAGAGGGGAGCTGGTGTCTGATTCCCGCAGCTGTCAGGAACCAGTCCTTCCTCCCGCTCTCCCCCTTGAGTGACAGCTCCATCTGTCACACTGGCAGAGAGTGGTGCCTCTCAGAGAGGAGAAAAGGAGCCCAGTGACCCTCTGATCGAAATGGCCCTGGTGAGGGATTTGAGAAGAGATCCCCCTTCTTCCCATCCTCTTCTTAGATAGGGGTCTCCCCCAGGGGCTTAGTGGACCCTCCCTCCACCTTATGGTCCATAGGATGTCGGGACTGAAAGGGACCATAAAGCCCTACCCCTCCCCTCCTTTGGGGAGGAGTTTCCCTGTGGAGAAACTGAGGCACAAAGAGAGGTAAGGGCCCATCCAAGCTCACACAGCAGACCATGCTCCCCTCCAGACCCCCACCCATCCCCACCTTTGCTGCCTCCCATCTCGGCGGGCCGGGGGTCAGGGCGGAGCAGCAGCAGTCCTCGGGGTATGAAGCTCTAAGAAACAAGGGGGGAGGGGTCGGAGGAGAAAGGGAGGGAGCGAGGGAGGGGGCAAGGCAGGGGGCGGAGCGCTCTGAAATCGACCAATAGCTGCGCCCGGGGGCCCCCTAGCGGAGACAAGGAAAAGGCTTACGGTGAGACAGTCCGAGGCGGGGTGGGGGGTGGGGCAGGGTCTTGCCAACAGAGCTCCGGGATCCCTTAGGTGGGAGGAGAGGCAAGAGGAGCCCATAGAAGGTAAGGGGGAGAAGCTACCCAAAGGGGCGGGATCTTCTTTAAATTAGCCAATGGCGACGATGCAAGTTCTCAGAGCAAGCCAATGAAATGGGAAGAGGGACGAAAACTTGGAAGGCGGGACTATTTAGGAAATAAAAAGAGACCTGTCAGCGGGAGGGGCAGAGTGGGGGCTCCTAGCGGAGGCGGAGATAGGCACGGAGGGGGCGTGGCTTAGCTATATTTAACCAATGGAGCTGGGCGGGGGAAGGGCTGGCAGAAAGGCGAAGGTTTTAAGGGGAGAAGTCTGAAGCAGCGCCTCAAGATGAGGTGAGAAGGGAGGAAGTAAAAGGAATGATGCCAGGGAGAACGGGCGGGATAGATGTAGCCTAATTGTATCCAGCCAGTGGAACAGGAGAAAAGGAATCCAATGATGGGTGAGAGGTATGGAATGGGCGTGGTCTATTTATAACCATCCAATAGGGACACTCTGCATCATCCAATCAGGGGATGAAAGGAACGGGGAGGGAAGGGGGCCGGATTTGGTCCTATTTAGCCAATGATGCCCTGGAGCCCTCTCGCGGAGAAGTAAGGAAAGAGTAGGAGAGTTGGGGGGGGGAAGGGGAGAAGAGGACAAGTTCTATTTATAACTAGCTAACGGTGGTACCCTAAAAAAAACGAACAACGACCAAAAAAAAAAGTGAGAATGTAGAGGAGGGGTCAGGATCTACCACTAACCAGTGACGACATTGAATGTCGCAATGTAATGTAATGAATGCAATATAATAAAATGAGGTGGGACGACGAGGAAAGAGGGTGCTGGATTTGAAACCATCCCATGCTTGTTCCTCTAGCATCCCTTAGCGGAAAAAAGGCCAGTGAAGACGCCAGGAGATTAAAGGCAGGATGGGGTTGGTTGGAACTTGCCAATGGACCAGTGAAAGTTGTGATAGCCTCGAAGAGGATGGGGATTATTTATAATTAGCCAGTAGAGGGGTCCCTGTGGGAGAGGATAGTGCAGAAGAAATAAATAGGGAACGGATAGGGAAAAGAGGGAAGGAGGAAATTATAAGCAACCTCAGAGTTACCCCTCGACTCCACTCTCACCCCCCCACACCCATGTCCAATTTGTTGTCACATCTTGCAATTTCTACCCTCCCAACATCTCTCCTCTGTATCTCGGACACTCACCCAGGTGGATTATTATACCTGGATTATTGCAACAGCCTGCAGGTTGGTCTCCCTTTCACAGGCCTCTCCCCACTCCAGTCCACCATTCTCCACTCAGCTGTCAAAGTGATTTTCCTAAAGCAGAGGTCTGACCATATCTTCCCTCTCTATTCAGCCAATTCCAGTGGCTCCCTCTTGCCTCCTTGATCAAATATAAATTTCTCTGCAGCATTTAAAGCCGTTCACGACCTGCCCTCCCCCTTCCTACCTTTTCATTTTTCTTATACCTTTCTCCCCTCCATATGCTCTGGATGCAATAACATTGACCTACTTGTTCCATTTCTAGACTCCATGTCTTTGCAATGGCTGGCTCTGAAAGGTTCTGCCCCCATGACTTTCACCTCTTCCCTGGCTTCCTTCAAGACTCATCTTAAGAGGCAGCTAGGTGGTACAGTGGATAGAGCACAAAGCCTGAAGTCGGGAGGACCTGAGTTCAAATCCAACCGCAAATAATTGCTAGTGGTGTAACGTTTATCAAGTCACTTAACTCTGATTACACACACACACACACACACACACACACACACACACACACAAAGACTCAGCTCAAATTCCACTCTTTACAAGAGTCCTTTCCTGGTCTCTCCCCATCCTCTGTTATTGCCTTTCTGAAATTACTCCCAACTACTCTGAATGTATCTTGACTATAGATGGTTATGAAATGTTTTCTCCCTCATTAGAATGAGTTCCTTGAGGTCACTCTTCTTGTTTGTTTGTTTGACTTTCTGTGTATCCCAGCCCTTAGCCTAGTACCTGGGACATAGTAAAGGCTGAGTTAATGCTGTGGACTGACTGACCAAATGGGAAGTAGAGCAAAGAGAGGAGGAGGGCATGAGGAAGGGAGAGGAAGAGGACTGGAAAGTAGATGGCAGGAGGAGTGCAAAGGGGGGAAAGAAGAAGGGAAATGGAGTGGCAGTTGGGGCACACGGGTACAGGATGGAAGGGCTGATGATCTGCACATTGACTAATGGAAGCATGTCCCTAGTATTTCTTCCACCTTTCTACCCTTAACCTCCCCAGTACCATCCAGGTCGCAAAAGCAAATACTTACCTAGGACATGAATTTCTAGAGTGATCCCTAATTGGTCCGAGCTCTCCAAGCGCTGCCCGGTGATTGGCTCCCGCTCACCGTCTCCCCACACCTCCCCCTCTTTCGGATCTTCCTCCTCCCGCCAAGAGTTTGAGTCACGAGACCCCAAGGAAAGAGGTGGGGAAGGGGTGTGAGTTTGGAGGGCTGAAATTCCTGGGCGTGGGCTGAGACGTAAGCAACCGACCTCAGGCTGAGAGGGTTCAGCTCGGAGGCATGGTACTTCCAAGTCTTCAAAGCAAAAAAGGAGGGAAATGAGGCTAAGAGCTTCTCCTTAGGGTACACCTCCCATCCCCACTAAGGTTGCCCAGCGCTCGGGACCCCTCCCTTCCCAGATTCAGTCACGCTCTTCTCCAAGATTCTAACTCCTAAGAATCCACGCTTCTGCCCCCTCTTCCCCGCCTTACCCCGAACCCACCTTCAGCTAAACCTTGAACCTCCTTTTCAACCGTGCCCTTCTGGCATACCTTCCCCAGCCAATCTGGGCTCCGGTCTGCCCTCGTCGTCCTCGTCGTCCTCCTCCTCCTCCGAGGGGCTGCTGGCCGAGTCCTCCGAGGCCGCCAGCCCCGACTCCCAGGCCAGCTGGTCCAGACGAAGCCGCAGTTCGGCCTGAGGAGGGCCTTCCTGGGCAGCCCGTCGTTCAGGCTCCGGAGACTGGCTCAGGCTGGGGATGCTCTCCAAACTGTCTCCCAGGCCCGATGGGCCCGGTTCACGGGGCTCAGAGCGGCCCGAGGGGCGAGGCCGGCGATGGACAGAGTCTCGGCGGTTGCCCCCAGCTTCGAAAGCGATATAGGAGAAGGTCAGCTCTCGGGGGGTACCCCAGTCCTGCGACGTCGTCTCCTCCTCCTCCTCCTCAGAGAACTCCCGAGCAGTGTGCAGCTCCCGGAAATCCGAATCGTCGTTGCCACCTGGAAGGATACTGGCTTTAAACTGCTGTCCCCTTATCGCCAGTCACCCACCATCGCTAAACTCCAGATTCCTCTCAGAAGTACCCGAGATTCCTCCATGCTCACAGGATTTTAGATAAAGAATGGAATCTACAAATCACCTAATCCCACTTCTTCATTTTTACATGTGAGGCAACTAAGGCTGTTTCCTTCCCCAAGGTCAAAACAGGTTACTACCAGAGTTGGATTTTCTCTCAGCAGCTCCTGATCTGTCTTCTCCTCACACATATTAAATGGCTATGACCTTACTTTCCCCCCACCCCGGCAGTACCTCCTCAGTGGTTCCTCCTCATTTCTCCTTAGAAAGTATGAGCTTACCGTGAGTCACTGATTCCTCATCAGAGCTCTTCACACTCCCCTACTTCATTTAGCCCCCCAGAAATGCCCCTGCCATAAAGGACATGGAGGTAGACTCTACTCACCATCTGTGGAGTCAGGGGTGGAAGAGGCAGTGGATGGTGCTTCTTCTAAGAAAGAAATAGAATCTTAGGCACACCCCAGGAATCTTGGACACTTGGAATCACAACATTTCAGCTTTGAAAGCTTAGAATCTTGGGATTTTAGACTCTCAGAATTGTGGAATCGTGGAAATTTAGACTTTTGGGGTTTTAAACTTTGAGAACCTTAGAATTATAGCCTCTTAACCTTTAAAAATCATAGTGCCAGAAATGAGCCTAGAAAGCAGAATGTCTGAACAGTAAAGGACTTAAGATACCATCTTACACTCTCCAATTTTATAGACGGTAAACAGAAGCCTACATTGGAAAGTTTGCCCAAGGTTGCACTATAAGAAAAGACTGATCTCGGACTAGAACCCAGTTCGTGTGATGCCTCTGTACCAGCAAAGGGGGTGGGGGTGGGGAGTGGGAAGCATCTGACACTCCTTTCTCTATCCTAGAAAAATTAATTCCAAATCTATCAGGAAAGATGGGGGCGGGGTGGGGGGTGGTGTGTGTGTGTGTGTGTGTGTGTGTGTGTGTGTGTGTGTGTGTATTCGAGCTTGTCTAAAGCTGGAAAGAAGGTGTGAGTGGACGAGACTGCCCCTTAGAGGCGGTGGCCCGGGATTAGTCTCAGGGAGTCCTGGGAAAGGGAGAAGGGGGAGGGATGGGGCGGGGAATGGCAGTCTTCCCCTCCCCCATTCATCCTAGGCCTTTCCCTAGGATCAGCACCAGGGCTATGGGACAGCTCCGGGTCTTGCCTGGTCTCTCTCGGTCCCTTTAGGTTCTACTGGCTGGGCCCGGCTCTCGACAGCCCGTTCTGCATTAAAAGTGGAAGGCGCTTGGAGATCATCGAGTCTAACCCTTTCATTTGACAAAGGGGGGGAAACTGAGGCCCATGGATAGCTACATTAGTTGGCGCTGGGAAGGGGATTATTTCTTTGTCCTTACCCCATCAACCCCGGGAATCCCCTCCCTTCTCGAGCTGGCTCCCCTACCCCAGGGACTGGGGGGACTCACTGCAGTGAGCGAAGACAGGCAGCACCTGGCCCATGGCCCCGCCCGGGCCCGCTCTGGCCGCGCCGCCCAGGGCCCGGGGCCCCTAGTGTTCATCGCCTCGGCACCGCCCCAGCCGCCGCCATCCGCAGACCGTCGCCGCCTCCCTCCCTCCCTCTCCTCGGGGCCTGGGCGGGCGGGGCCCCGAGCTGGGACCGAGGGGAGTGAGGAGAAGGGGGTGGGGGGACTGCAGCACGAGCCCCGGGCCGGGGGCGGGGCTTGGGCTGGGGGGCGTGATCAAGCGCGCCTGCGCGAGCTTGGAGACCGGCGAGGGGACGGGAGAGATAGGGAGCCTGCGCGAGTCTGGAAGGGGGGGGCGGGTAGGAGATGGGGGGGCGGGCCCTGAGGAAGACGGGGTGGAGCATAAGCTGTGGAGGGAGTGGGGCCTGCCCAGGAGCGTGCACTGGCGGGGCCTGAGGCAGAACGAGGGAGAAGATCGGAAAAAAAGACTAAGAAACTATACTGGGGGGGACTAAGCCTGGAAGGGAGGAGGAGAGGCCCTGGAGGGGTTAGGATCCTGGCAGAAGGGCAGAAGGGCGAAGTACACAACAAGGAGAGGAGTTGTTGTCTGCTCCTGACCCTTCTGAAGCTCAACTTGTTAGGTGTGGGAGGGGACCGGGGAGCTCGGGGGCGTGGCATCGAGATGGTGAGCCTGGGAAGGGAGGCGGGCTGGGTGAATGTGGTGTAGACCAGAGTGTGACCACCGCCAGGGGGAGCTTACACACTTTCATTCATTCGCTAAACTTTTATTTAGGATCTAATAAGATGCCCAGGGAATCGCACTAGGCTCTGGGGAAGACACCAAATTGAAATAAGATACAGGTCGCTACCTTAACGGAGCTTACCGTTTGCTAGGGAGGTGACTGTAATCTTCAACACTGCCTGATAAACGCAGTAGAGAAGGACAAAGTTCTGGGTGACATCCAGCTCCAGTTCTCCGATCTTATTGTGAGGGAATCATTATGCAATAAAGCACTGAATTTGGAGTCACATGTTCCACCTTCAAATCCTGCCCTTGTCACTTACACCTTGTACAAGTCATTTCACCTTCTTAGGTCTCAGTTTCTGCATCTGTAAAATGAGAGATTGGACTGGATGGCCTGTGAGGTCCCTTCCACCTCTAGATCTTTGATTCAAGGAGGAAGACCGATTCTGAGCCTCTAAGTCAGAATCTCATTCAACGAGAATAGTAGATTCTTTAAGTCACAGACTCTTAGAATTGTATATTCTTAAGTCAAAATAGAATTTTAAGCCTTTATATTCAGGCAGCACCTCCTCCAAAAAGGCTCCCACGATCTCAGCTCTCCTCAGCTGAAAATATTCTCTGCTTCCTCAGATCACCTTCCTAGAGCACTTTGTCTTCATGTTTCTGCTTATCTCACAACACATCCTACTCTGTGATTCTTACTTCTATCACATATTAGAATGTCAGTAAGCTCTTTGAGGGTAAGAATTGGCTCATTAAATTTTTAAAAATCATGGTATCATAGGCTTAGTGCTGGAAGGAACCGTAGAAAATCATCCAGTCTAACCCATCGTCCAAACGGAGAAACTAAGGCAAAGAGAGATGAAGTAGCTTGTCCAAGGTCACAAGACTAGTAGGGTCTGGAGCAGAGATTTACACTAAGGTCTGCCTCTGATAGCCTATCATAGCATGCAGGTTCCCCTGGGTTCTTTCAGGCTGTGTGAGTGGCAGTTGGTCTGTGGAATTCTCTACCAAACTGGAAAGGTTGAGTAGTGAATTGGTTGCATGTAGATTACAGATTAAAGTTCTGTTGTCTGAGACAATTAATGAAGCCTGAGTTTCCCTCTCTTTGTCAAGCCTAGCTTAGCTTGGAGAGATTCACTGGCAGCTTGGCCACAAGGTGATGAGGATGACTCTACTGGTCATATTAGAGGGGTTTCTGGGCTGTGTGCCTAGAACAAGAACTTAGAGGGCTAAAATGACTTCCTCTGACATGTTTGAGCCCAGGTAGTTGCTGTGGATGGCCACACATAGTGGGCACTTAATGTTTGTTTAATTGAATAGAATCTTAGACTTTTAGGACCTTAGATTGATAGAATCATAAGCTCTCAGAGGAATAGAATTTTAGGACAGTAGAAAGTTGACCAAGAAATTTTTACTGACCACTTCCTATGTGCAAACCCTAAAGGAGGAAGTGTTCATATTTGGACAACCTTTAGAGGTCTCTTTACCCTCCAATCTTCCCGTTCCCACCCTCCCCCAAAGCCCCTTGGCCCAGAACAAAGTGAACCTGGAAGGGAAGAGAAAGCCCTGAACTTCTTCATAACCAAGATCAGCGGGCCTGTGGCACAATCTTTCATGTTAACCTGTTAGACAGTGGGCTCCTTGTGAAAAGTCTCTTTTCCCTTTCTGTCTTCCCAGTACTTTGCATAATGCCTGATACATAGTAGGTGCTTAGTAAGTGTTTATGACTGACTGACTCCTCACTTGGCTCCCAGGCTGCTGAGGACTGGAGCAAAAGAATTACTTAGCCACTCACCTCCCCTACCATGAGACTGACCAGCCTAGTGGAAATAAAAATGATTAAGACTAGGGAGGGGACTTCCCGCTTTTCAAGTTCCCCTGTAGTGAGGACATTTGAAAGGAGGAGAAATGTGACCCCTTTAAAAAGGTACAGGGAAGGGAATTCTAGGACTCAGAACCAGGTGAAGAATTTTGTTCCCTTAGAGCCCAGAAAGGGGAAAGGATTTCCTAGAGGTCACACAGAAGTTAGAGTCATAGTCAGGATTCTAATCCTGACCTCTATCTTAGAGAAGCAGCTAGATGGTACTGTGGATAGATCATTGAACCTGAAGTCAGGAAGACTTGAGATCAAATCTCTCCTCAGACACTAACTTAGCTATGTGACCACAGGCCAGTTTGCCTCAGTTTTCTCAACTGTAAAATGCAGATAATAACAGCACCTACCTCACAGGATTGGTGTGAGGTAAAACGAGATATTTGTAAAGCACTTAGTATACGGTGCTGGGTACATAGTAAGTGAACTACAAATGCTTCTACCCCTTCCTACTTCTCTCTTCCCCTTAGAGAGAAGACAGGATTCAATATTGCCCAAATGCCCACCCAGCAGTTCACAGAATGACCAGCCAGCAGAAACTTGTGGACCAAAGGAGATAGATAGATCTCTGGAGTCAAGAGCATTCATTAAGTGCCTCCTAAGCTCCTAAGGGACTATGCTAAGTGCTGGCTGGGGTCCTCAAAAGGAAACTGGGTTCTGGACAAAGAGTTTCCCGCCCCATACAAAGGAAAGTGGAAAAGGGAATGAAGGTCTGCTGCCTGAGCACCAGGCTAGCTCAGGTTGGAGAGATTCATGACCACCTTGGCCATAAGGTCAGGGAGACTCTCCTAAAGTCCTATAGAGAGGCTTCTGAGCTGTGTGTCTGGAACAAGGACTCACAGGGGTGAAATCATATCCCTTGAGGTATTGAAGCACAGGAGATGTGTATATCCCTAGGGCCCAATACAGTGTCTTGAACATAGTGGGCACTATAAGTTCCTTGGGAAAGGAGGACCTGAAAGAGGGCCAGGAGGTAAGGCTGTGGTGGAACAAGGGTTTGGGGAGGTCAGTGGCTTCATCCATGAGGTCATTCACTGGGGACTTGCGAGCTAGAAGCCCCCATTACTCTGGGGGTAGGTACGCCCTTTTCGAGGAAAGTTTTCCTTCCTTGAGCTTTGAGGGTGGCCACTGCTTACTCTCATGACTTCCTGGTAAAACTGGAGACAAACGAGTGTTCTAATATACTGTAGAATAACAGAGCTGGCTAAAGTTCAGAACTCAGGACAGAGCTGGAAGAGCCCTTAAAACACAGACTATAGAATGATTGGGGGGGGAGGCACCACTTTAGAGATCACCTAGCTTAAAGCACTGGCTCAGTGCCTGGCATACAGTAAGTGCTAAATAAATGTTTGTGGCCTTATTGATTTCACCCATGAAGAGAAGATACAGAGGCCCAGAAAGGAGCCGAGAATCTCTTGAAGTCATATAGGGCATCGGAAGCAGAACCCAAGCCTTCTGACTCTTAATCCGAGGCTTTTCTCCCAGAGTCCTCTGCACTCAGTCTCTATGAGGATGGGGAACTCCGAACCCCCAGGGAACTCCCAGCAGGCCGGAACAGGAGGAAATGAACGCGAACTCGTTACTTCTCTTCCCTCTTCTAACTGGCAGTTTGTGTGTTTAGCAGGAGCAGAGGGGGAAACCGAGGCACACTGGACGGGGAGGGCGGGAAAGGGGGCTGAGGATGGAACCCAGGCGTCCCGCCCTTCCCCGCCCTCGCTTCTCTCTCAGTCTGTCTCTTAGTCATCCCGGTCCACACCTACTTCCTCCTCCTCACCTTCCCCAGAGGAGTGGGGGCGGGGCTGGCTCAGGTCAGGTGAAGGGAGGGGAGGGAGGGGGATGGGGGAGTGGATCTTTCTACGCTCGATTGATCCCCGTAGCCCCCAGTGACCCTTTCCCACGAAAAAGTGTGCGTAAGGGAGAGTAACCGGTCGGGAAGGGGGGCCACCAAGGAGAAGGGCAAGGGGCAGCCGGCCGGGTTACTGGACGCCCGGAACCTTTAAGGCGCGAGGCATTGTGGGCGCCCCGAGTGTGCGGAGCGGAGCGGGGCGGGGGGGGGATAGGGGGGTGTTTAGAGAAGCAGGTTGGAATCTTGGAACGAAATGTAACCACAGGAGGAAAAGCGTAACGTCCTAACAGCGGGGAGCTGCGCCGGCGACTGCGCTGGCGGGGTAGGCGCATCTGACCGCGAAGGGGAGCCCAAACCGGGGGGCGGGGGCGGGGGGAGGGCCCGAGCACCCCCAACTAAGAAGGGGGCGGGACCCCAACCGAATCCCCGCCCCCTCCTATGCCCCCTCCTCCTCCCCCTAGAGGAGGAAGCTGCAGCCCTCCACGGGGCGGGTCCGGCCCCAGATCTGACCAGAGCTCTGGGCCCCCCTCCCCTGCCCCTTCCCCGGAGCCTCCGGGTGTACCCCGGAGCCCGGGAGCCCAGTGCGGCCCAGCCGGTCCCTCGAGCGCCCCGCCATGAGGTGAGAGACACTAGGGCGGGGTCTGGAAGCCGGGAGACTTTGGTGGGGAGGGTGCCTTGGGCCTGGGGACCCAGCTGGGATCCAGGGAGGCCGCCTCCTCAGCCCTCTGGCGGGTTACGGGGAGGGAGAAAGAGGGTTGTGGGAACCCAGGTCTCTGGGAAAGAAGGGAAGGG